TTGCAGGCGGAACACTGGCAACAAAAGAAGATTACACAGAACAGAAAGCACTTAATAACAAGCTCTTCTTAACTCTTGATGGAGTTTTCATGTCATTTCGATGCGTGCCATGGTGCCAGGTGTCAAACTGGTATGTGCCTGCTATGCAAGTTACGCATCGCATTACCAAAGTCTAAAACATACTGGCACTGTTCTGTCTTTTGAAGGGTTAATAAGAGTCTTATAGAATAAGACTCTTTACCTGTAACTATACCACACCTAGGACATATCCTAAAATGTAGACAGCAGGTCGAACCTGCTACTTAAAAGTAGGTTGTGTAAAAAAAAAAAAAAAAATTATATATATATATATATATATATATATATATAATACCTGCCACAAAAGTCTAAAAAAAAATGTAAAAGTGTTAGTTGCATTATTGCTTTGAAAAGGTTTATTTCCAAACAGACTTCTTCTTTGAAAAAAAAAAAGGAGAGGGGGGTCTGAAATATTTATAAAAAAGAATTACAAAGGGAATGCAGAAAATGCCCTAATATAGGATTCTTGTCTCTAAACACACTTCTAACCAGATTTGCTGAAGGCTTGAATGTAATCCAGCGAAGCAAAAAGCTTCAGGGTTAGGAGTGCCTGAAACATTAGAGAAGTGCTGCAGCCTAGAATGCAAACTGTGTCTTGTTCCAAATCAGTGCAGAAACATGTAACATAAGGTTGGATTTAGTGTTCGCAATACAAAAACTTTGAAGCCAATGTAAGACTATGAGTGGTCAGAGAGTGAAGCATGCAAGGTTTATTCCTCACCTGTGCTTGTGTAGAAGTGAGAGTTACAAGGTGCTGAAATCCTGGATGATCCAATGGTTTCGTAGCCTCTCACAGTCCAGTCCACAAAGTGCTTTGAAACCCAGCTGAGCCATTCACATGTCTGTCCTCTCATTCACTGGTTCAGGAGTTAGGAGCTCCAGATCTAGGGCTGACTCACAAGGCAGGACAGTTCTTCAAGGTCCTAGTGCCTTTCTGACATAAACCAGGTGTGTGTTTCAAAATCCTTTTTTTTTTTTTTCACCTCTCTGTACAGGCAGCGCAGGGATATTCCAATTTTTATTCAAGTGACATCTATGAAACTAGAAAGTCAGGAGAGACAATAGCATGGCTTGCGCATAAACATGCAGATCTGGAACGCATCCTCCTCTAGTCTGCAGAAGAACAGCTGATAATAACCCCCTATAGTGACGGTGGCGTTTAAACTGGGATTACGTCTGAACCTATCAGCTTCAGCCCAGCGGTGGTGTTTTCAAATAATCACTAGTCAAAATGATTTAACCCTTGACACACTGCAGAGAACGGCAAGAATAATGTGAAGAGGAAACAAGCAACGCTGTTTATTTTTGTTAAGGCAGAGCGCAAGCTAACAAATTGATTTCTTATCCTCTGGCATATAACAATTGTTGAGCTTTTCATAACAGTACAAATAAATTGCTATTCCACAGAGCTTGCAGTCTTTATCGACCTTCAGAGTTTTTTTCATTAACATGGTAAAAAAAAAAAAAAATTCTTTAATTATATTGTATCAGCATTCTATAACCAGCAACCAGCAGAGCTTACAATCTAATGTTATGACTGTAATTGCTAGCATTGATAAGGACTCAGTAAATGTTTTCAAATGCAGGCCACAATAAGGAGTTAAATAGAACATTTCTCTTTATGCAAGCTGATGGCCTGAGGTCTGTGCATTCCCCTTTGTGCACGGAAATAAAACACATACATGGGGCAATATACAATACTTGTGTCAAAAGCACCCATGCTGGAAGTAAACCCAGGACTTCAGTGTAGCAAGACAGCTACGCAAGTATATGCAGCCATTATTTCAAGGTCTCATGATCTGGTTTAATTCTAGTTATTGCTAGGTAAAGAGGAAGTGGTTGCTATTGATTACTGCACATGAGTTTTGCAATATATTAATGTATATGTGACCCCCTCACCTTGTAAAGCAACCCATAGAGTTGAAAATAGAAATGAAAGGTAAAACACTTGTGTAATGATAACCACAAACAGAAAACATTTTAAATAAATGCTTTCCCTTATATAAAAGTGTGCACATACCCTCTGTTCTCAGCTGCATAGAGAGGTGAGGGCAGAGAAACAGCAATACACTAGTCTTCCCAATGCATGGGGTAGGGGGGATAATGTCGGAATCTGATCATTGGAGGAGAGCAGGATGAGTTCTCAGAACAGAGAGAGATTTGACCATGCTGGGCTCTCATGCCTAGTGTAGTAAATTTTTGATAGGAAAGCAGAGGGACTGGGATTTCACACAAAGGAAGCAATACAAAGAAAACAGGATACGTTTTCATACAAGTATATGGTACAGCATGCACAAACCAGGAATATTAAATAGTACATAGTTACATAGTTAGTCTGGCTGAAAAAAGACAAAAGTCCATCCAGTTCAACCATAAAAAAACAGTTATAATCCTATACACACAGTTGATCCAGAGGAAGGCAAAGCATGATCCAAGTTGCTCCTGCAGCTGCAAAAAATTATTCCTGATCCCCCAAGAGGCAATCGGATGTTCCCTGGATCAACTTTATCTATAATTGTTAGCATCCAGTTATATTCTGTGTATCTAGGAAAGAATCCAGGCCTTTTTTAAAGCAATCCACTGAGCTGGCTAGAACCAACTCTTGAGGGAGTCTATTCCACATTTTTACAGCTCTTACTGTGAAGAAACCTTTCCGTGTTTGGAGATTACATTTCTTTTCCTCCAGACATAAAGAGTGCCCCCTTTTTCCTCTGTGATGACCTCAGGGTGAATATCTCTACACCGAGTTCACTATATGAACCACTGATGTATTTATACACGTTGATCATATCCCCCCTTAATCTCCTCTTCTCAAGAGAGAATAAATTCAGTTCCTCTAATCTTTCCTCATAGCTGATCAACTCCATGCCTCTTATCAGTTTGGTTGCCCTTCGCTGTACTTTATCCAGTTCCCCAATGTTCTTTTTGTGAATTGGTGCCCAAAATTGAACTGCATATTCCAGATGAGGTCTTACTAATGATTTGTACAGGGATAATATGATATCTCTCTCTCTGGAGTCTATACCTCTTTTAACACAAGAGAGGATTTTTCTCGCTTTAGAAACCGCAGCTTGGCATTGCATGCCATTATTAAGCTTGTGATCTACCAGAACTCCCAGATCCTTCTCCACCATTGATTCCCACAGTTGTGCTCCCCCTAGTATGTATGATGCATGCATTTTCTTTGTCCCCAAGTGCATAACTTTACATTTATTAACATTAAACCTCATTTGCCACATAGTTGCCCAATTAAACAGTGCATTGAGGTCGGTTTGTAAGTTGAAGACATCCTGTAAGGACGTTATTCCACTGCACAGCTTGGTGTCATATTGGGCTTATATATTCTTTAAATAAGACTATACTTGTACATTAAGACAAGTGGTTGAAAAAAATGGATCATTACTATTAATAAAATGGATCTTGCACCTAAATAGCAAGATCTGCTTATTTTGTATGCCACTCATCTTCCTTTCTAAAATTTGATTATCCATTCAACTGCAAAACAAAACCTTTATGGGAAAAATGTTAGATAATGTACATACTTTTTCTGTGGTTTCTGCCCATGGTACCTAGACAAGGGTGACTTCATCATTCTGGTGAGATCCTGAGGAATGATGAATAGGCCAGATCTTTTGAAAAGATGACCCTGTACTGTTTTGCAGTGTCTTTTCATGTAAATTGAAGTACTTAGCCTTCCTCGGGTTCTCACCAGCAGGATTATGATGTCATTCTCTGCACTACAGAAACTGTCAGAAAGGTAAGTATACATATATTTTTTTTCCTCTATGGGTTTCGTTTTTAAGTTTAAAGTGGAGCTTCACCCAAAAGGGAAAGTTCCACTTTAAGGCTTTGTCCCCTGATCCCTGTTAAGGATTGGCACCTTTGGGGAGCGAGTACCTGAATTTGCCAGGTTTGTCCTCCCTCCTTCCCTCCTTGTAGTCTTCTGGGACATGTGACAGGTCCCAGAAGACTATGGGACCATTCGCAAAGCACAGCATTTCTTACGCATACGCAGTGGGCACCTGGATCTGAAGCCACATGCTGTCACAGCTCGGTGTCCACACTGAAGATGCCGGAGCCGGGGAGAGAAGACGACCAGTGAAACCAGCCATGGTGAGGACACCGCTGGACCGAGGGACAGGTGAGTGTCTCTATTTTAAAAGTCAGCAGCTACAGTTTTTGTAGCTGTTGACTTTTGTTTGTTTTTAATTCAACTGGAACTCCGCTTTAATATGGTGTTTTAGCAAGTGGGAAGGGCACCACACTAGTTCTGAATCCCCTCATCTCACTACTGACTCATCACTATGAAGGCAGGTGATTTCACTATCTAACAGAGAGGTGCAGCAGGCATTGCTAGGCTCTTGGCTGGGTACATAGACCAATGTTTGCACATCAAAACAATTATTATTCGAGGGACCTGGAAATTGGACTGTACATGCAGGCACCTAACGGTGACCACTATACCATGTTGGTGTTCGCTTTTTTTTGTTTACAATGGCCACAGGTTTACTTTAATAATTTTGGCACTGCATACTATTTAAAGTACCATATTTTTTGCTCCATAAGACGCACCTGACCATAAGACGCGCCTAGGTTTTAGAGGAGAAAAAAATATTCTGAACCAATGGACTGCAGACATAGTACAGGAAATGACCAGAGACTGCAGACACAGTACAGGAGATGACCAGAGACTGCGGACACAGTACAGGAGATGACCAGAGACTGCGGACATAGTACAGGAAATGACCAGAGACTGCGGACACAGTACAGGAGATGACCAGAGACTGCGGACACAGTACAGGAGATGACCAGAGACTGTGGACATAATACAGGAGATGATCAGAGACTGCGGACACAGTACAGGAGGTGACCAGAGACTGCGGACACAGTACAGGAGATGACCAGAGACTGCAGACACAGTACAGGAGATGACCAGAGACTGCAGACACAGTACAGGAGATGACCAGAGACTGCGGACACAGTACAGGAGATGACCAGAGACTGCGGACACAGTACAGGAGATGACCAGAGACTGCGGACACAGTACAGGAGCTGACCAGAGACTGTGGACATAATACAGGAGATGATCAGAGACTGCGGACACAGTACAGGAGGTGACCAGAGACTGCGGACACAGTACAGGAGATGACCAGAGACTGCAGACACAGTACAGGAGATGACCAGAGACTGCAGACACAGTACAGGAGATGACCAGAGACTGCGGACACAGTACAGGAGGTGACCAGAGACTGCGGACACAGTACAGGAGATGACCAGAGACTGCGGACACAGTACAGGAGATGACCAGGGACTGCGGACACAGTACAGGAGATGACCAGAGACTGCGGACACAGTACAGGAGATAACCAGAGACCGCAGGCACAGTACAGGAGATGACCAGAGACTGCAGACATAGTACAGGGGATGACCAGAGACTGCGGACAGTACAGGGGATGACTAGAGACTGCAGCCAAAGTACAGGAGATCACTGCTGGCAGCTATACCTGCTAGCAGTGATCACTGTGTTCTGCCAGCAGGGAAAACTTCACACTGGCAGAATACAATAGCGCTGCCAGAGGGATTCCCCCATCAACACAGTCGGTGATGGAAGGAAAGAAAATTGTATATTCTATGGCTTACCTTATTCCCCTGCAAGTCCCAAAAATACCTGTTGATCCTGCCAGTGAAGTCCACCTAATGCAGCTTCCTGCGATTGTGTGGCAATGATGCTGCACTGCCTCTTATTCAGTGCAAAGGTGTCATAGCCTGCACTTCTCACTGCTGATTTACCTGGAGCTTGTCAGTCAGCATCCGGCCACATGTAGTCCTGCCACCACTTTTTGGATTCTCAGCATCACCTTTGTTGCAAAATAATCACGTCCACTGTCAGCTGCAGCGTCTGGGAGAGGAAGCATGTGAGAGATTCTGTAATTAAAGGAGGATTTGGCTCAGCCAGGGAACGTAAAGGTAGTTTTTGTTTACTTTATGAGACTTTTTCATCCCATAATAACTGAATTTTCTACTTGTTTAGACTGTCATACAGAAGTTGTTAATTGCACTTTAATGACTATAGCCCCGAGAAATAAGCAAAAATCCAGAAGACATTTATTAGAAGATGTTTACTCTCAGAAGCTCTGACCATATTTCTAGTTATTATGTAAAGTGATAAACATTATGAAGGATGTAGGAAGGAGTTATGTTCAAGCACAGTTACATATATTTTTCACGAAATTAAAAATCTCTGGTTATTGTACATATTTAATTACACTATACAGTACACCTACCTACCTGCACTTTGTGTTTTTCACCTTCATAAGATGTGTATTGATTGTGTAGTTTTATGATGACATTTGTTGCCCTGTACACAGGGCCGGTGCTAGACTATTTTGTGCCCTAGGGAAGACCAGCCACTTGCACCCCCCTCCCCCCACAAAAAAAAAAAATAAAACGTCAAAAATGTTTCCTTAAGTCCATTAAAAACCAGTAACATCAGCATCAGCCATCATCAGAGTATGAAAAAGACAAGGGGAGGCACCACTAAGTGCAGTATTAAAAGACCAATTTAATAAACATGGGGTGGGCCAGCTTTGAACGCACACGAGGAAGAGGTGACGTCACAGGGGAAAGGTCTGGTGCCTTGGAGAACAGACTACGTGCTCAGTGCTTAGGCTGGGGGGAAAGTTAGCTGAGAGACTTCTAGAGTGTACCCACTACTTATGGGTACAGCGGTTAGGCAAACTAAAGACACCAGCATGACATTTTTGGGTTTCTCAGCCTAGTGTTCTGAAGGTGAGAGCTAAACAGTAATTAGATCTGAGACGGACACACACATGCAGATAAATGAAGGGAAGAGGTGGCTTTCATCACATTACACTCCCACATTTGTGATGCAACAGGGAGGAAATAGCAAAGCATGAATTGGAGACTATATGACCTGGAACTAAAAGTTGCCTGTCCCTTTAATGAATGGGAACAAGCTAGGAGAATGAGCCATTTACATATTGGAATCAATCAGCCATGACACTACTAAAAACTGCAGCCACAAGATAAGCCAAATAGAGGGAATATAGCTACACTAATATCTAGTTAAAACAGCGAAAAACTTTTGAAAGTGTACAATACCTTTAAAGCTTGACTACAGTCAAACCTTTTTGTTGGGAGTGGGAGAGCTTTAGAATCTCACAATTATTTTGCAGCTTTACCTGAAAGGGATTGTTCTTTACTGCCTGTATGGTTACCTGGACAAGAATTGAAGAGAGATTCTCTTCTACTGGGTACACAGACGGCAACAGAAATATTTTTCTGCTAGTGCAGATAAGGGTTGCAACCCCTATCAGATTTGATAGCTGTTGGTGCCCCTACTGGGAAAACCATTCTCACTTTTTTTATCTTCAAAGTGACAAAAAGTGAAAAAAAAAATTCCAGGCTCAGTTCACAAAGCTTTCTTTTTTTGAAAATAACGATCTTTATCCTAATGTTTTAGCTTTGTGAAATCTTGTGAAGCCCATTTATAATCATCAAAGCCCACTGTCCATGTCCCTCACCAACTCTGTTTCCAGGTGTGCTTCTTCCTGATGTCATTCTGCTGTGGCATCTGAACCCAGACCATTATCCCCTGCAGTAAAGAAGGTGGAAGAGTCAGGACCTACAGATCTATGTAAGTAAAAAAGGCTTTTAGCTTAGATTTTTTAAACTTAATGGTTATTTTGGGTTGAGTTTTTAGGCTTCATATCAGAGTGCTTAACCTCTTGCCGACCGCGCATAGCCGAATGACGGCTTCACCGCGGCCGGCCAGTTCTGAGTGGACGTCATATATGACGTCCTCCCAGAACGCGCTCTCCTGCGCGCCCCAGGGGGCGCGCACCCGGCGATCTCCGTGATCGCTGTGTCCTACGGACACAGCTGATCACGTGATGTGGTGAAAGGCCGATCCCACCGGCCTTTTACCACGTGATCAGCGGTGTCCAATGACACGCTGATCACAGGGAAATGCAAGTGCCGGTTCTCGGCTGCACTTTCCTCACGCTGTCAGATCGTGAGGAAAGTACTGCAGAGAACCGGCAGTTGTCAGAGCGGGGATCGGCACCGATCATCAGGGCACTGATGATCAGTGCCCTGATGATCGGTGCCCAGCAGTGACACCCGCAAGTTCCGCCCAGCAGTGCGCCCACTAGCCCCGCCCACCCGTTCCCAGCAGTGCCCCCACCTGTGCCCAGCCGTGCCCCCACCTGTGCCCAGCAGTGCCCCCACCTGTGCCACTCTGCAGTGCCACCTACCTGTGCCCAGAAGTGCCACCTACATGTGCCCAGCAGTGCCACCCACCTGTGCCCACCCACCTGTGCCCACCAGTGCCACCCACCTGTGCCCACCCACCAGTGCTGCCCACCAGTGCCACCCACCAGTGCAGCCCAGCAGTGCTGCCAGTCAGTGCCACCAGTCAGTGCCCAGGGGTTGTGCCAGTCAGTGCCGCCAGTCAGTGCCCAGAAGTGATGCCAGTCAGTGCCGTCTATCAGTGCCCATCATCAGTGTCACCTATCAGTGCCGCCTATCAGTGCTGTCTATCAGTGCCGCCTATCCGTGCCACCTCATTAGTACTGCCTATCAGTGCCCTTTAGTGCTGCCTATCAGTGCCCATCAGTGCCGCCTATCAGTGCCCATCAGTGCCGCCTCATCAATGCAAATCAGTGAAGGAGAAAAAATACCTGTTTGAAAAATTTTATAAAAGAAACAAATAAACTTTTTTTTTTTTTCAAATTTTTTGCACTTTTTTTAATTTTATAGCGCAAAAAGTAAAGCGCCCAGTGGCGATTAAATACCAGCAAAAGAAAGCTCTATTTGTGAGAAAAAAATGATCAAAATTTCATATGGGTACAATGTTGCATGACCGCGCAATTGTCAATCAAAGTGCGGCAGCGCTGAAAGCTGAAAATTGGCCTGGTAAGGAAGGGCGTATAAGTGCCTGGTAGGCAAGTGGTTAAGCATACATCTGCTTGAGGACTATTTTTTTCCTGCATAGGATGCACAGGTGCGCTTCGCATCTGCTTGCAGCCAATCCCATTCATGCCAATTTAGGATGCACCTGCAGCACAGATACAGTTTCTGCTCCCAACATGACATCTGTCTCTGTTCACAATATGACATCACAGTCTCTGCTCCCAAACGCACACTGTATGAGGTGGGGCGGCAGAGTGGTGATCTCACAATCTCCACTTGTTCAATCAGAGGACACTTTGCATTCATTGGAAAAGGGCAAAGCATTCTCTGAATGGCACCCATGCTTAGTGAGCGATCTCCTATGTTCAGTAAACAGCAGGGCAGCCCCTCTGCACAGGACTTGGAAGCTAGTGATAATCACTATAGTAGTGGTGCTTACTACAGTGATTTCCAGCTTCCGTGTGGATTCCACAGACATGGCATATACATAGTTACATAGGTCCAAACTGGACCAATCGATGTAAAAAGTAACATACCTGACCTTCATCTTTCATTTCTTTAGTCATTTAAAAGTTTTGGCTGGTTGCTAAAGGTAACTGAACTTTTCACATCACCAGTGCTCTTGCTACAGAATAAGTTTAAAGAATGGCACCACACAGCCTGATCTTGGTCTTTGGGTGAACCCTGTAACTGTTGGGCATGGGAGGATAGAGCTGCATACTACATCTCTAGGGAACAATGGCAAGTACTACTGTATACTCTGATTAATGTATACGAGTATGCAAAGATTTTAACATGTATTATTGACAGTCATTATTGGAAAGTTATCTGACTTTCTAAAATGCCTAAGACTTTTCATTTTTAAATGTGAACATCTGTAATTTGTAAAAACTGATTAAACTTGGGGTAAGTGAATTCTTGTAAGGTAGATGCCGTTAATCATAGACCAAAGACCAAGCACTTTTCTCAGTGTATTTTAGCAGGTCGCCAGTTTATATAATTTAAGTTGGTTCTAATTCTAAGACAAGAACTTTCTGAGCGTTCTGACTGGTTGGCGCTTCTGTGAGGTCATGGCAGTGGCTCCTAGCCAATCAGCTTCCTTTTGGCTGCTCTCTCACAAGCTACTAAGTGAAAACATGGACTTTACAAGATATTCCCATGATGATTGAAACATGGGAATTTGAAACTGAAAACCTTACAACTCTGACATTATGGCTTAGAAAGAAAAGAATTTCTACTAGTAAGTTTTACTAAGCACTATAAAGTGTTTACCCGTGCAAGTCTATTAGGTAAGGCAAAGGCCATTCTATTAAGAGCAGCAACCCCTGGCAAACAAACTGAATGAATCTGATTTTACTTCAATAAACTGAAATCTGATTGGTTTTGAAGAGTTACAGTTGAATATATATTACACTTTCTCTTCATACAACTGTATTTGAAGAATTTCAGTTGACATGCTTCTCAAGACTACCCTTTTTATTTATTTTAGCCTTAACAATTTATGTAGCGCTTTACATACTGTATATATTGCACATTCACATCAGTCCCTGCCCTAAAAGAGCTTACAGTCTAGGGTCCCTACCTCTCATGCATGCATCCACATAATAGGGCCAATTCAGACAGG